TCTGTGTGTCTGTGTGTGTCTGTCCCTATTCTGGATGCAGTAAATTCACTACAAAATAGCCAAAGCCAGGTAGCCACTACTTGGAGACAACACACTTGTGCAAACTGTAATATGGTGTAACACCCAAGACTATACAAGACTCAAAACAGTTCATTTGACCAGCTTCTATGTTGCTTTATGACTAAAAGTAAAACCAGTTTTGTAATAACCAGGGTTTCCACATCTCCTGGAAGCCTTGAAAAACCTGGACATTTAGAGACTAGCCTTTCTGTTATGGAAACACCTGGAATTTGATTAAAATGACCAAGTGTCCTGGAAATAATCTGCGTTGTCCTGAACATTGTACATTGTATTTTGGCCTGTGGCCAAATTATTGTTATGGTTAGAGGAATACTGAAGTCACTTTGTAATAAAATCTGCTGTAGTGAGAACACCCAAGCTAGCTAGCTAGCACAGAGTATACCGTAAACGATGACCACCTATGGCTGACCCCTGAAAAGGCCCTGGAAAACAATTTCTTACAAAGAAGTGGAACCCCGAATAACTTGATTTTAATGATTTAGACCTTCAAAGGAATTAGATATACTGCCTTTGCCTAGACCGTAGCTGTACAGTAGGTTCCACTCAACCAGGCAGAGATGCTTTCTAAGTACCTGCTCCCTTCATGTGTCTGCTATGGTTTCACACTTAAGCTTAAGCTGTGGCACTTAAATACAGTGGCGAAGGATGCAGTGCTCACTCTCAGCTACTAGTTTTGCAGTCTGAAGAAAAGGACTGTGTGTAGTAAACTGTACACACCACTTTGATTGAAACAATGACACTGAGCATTCAAGAGTATCACTGCCACACTATACCAGATACAAGTTTAATTTTTTTTGTCATTTTCAATGCAAGGATGCAGTTCCCTTTATGTATTTTATTAAAAAGAAAAGGATGAATTTGTATGATGAAGTGCTGAGGAAGAATGTAATGTAACAGTCTCACAGCCTGAGGGAAGAAGCTGCGTTTACGTCTGCTGGTACGGCAGCGGAAGCTTCTGTACCACTTCCCAGAGTGCAGCAGGGTGAACAGGCTGTGGCTGGGTGGGTGCTGTCTTTAGTATCTTTTGGGCTCTGCAGTCACCTCACCTCACCAATATCACTGATGCTGGGCAGCTGAGTACCAGTGTTCTTCTGGGTTTTAATCCCCCGCTGCAGAGTCCTCCTGCCCTGGGCCGTGCAGTTTCCGGTCAGGATGCTTTCTATCCCTTCTCTGTAAAAGTTAACAGGAACTTGTCACAGGAATTTTGCTTTCTTAAGTTTCCTTTAGCAATACAGTGGTTTCTGTGCTTTCTTAACCAGGGTGGAGATGCGAGATGACCATGCCAGGTTCTCAGATGTTCCCAGGAACCTAAAACTGTTTGCCTGCTCCACCTTGGGCAGTCACTTTTTATTCAAAATTTAAAAATGTGTTCAAACGTGGCTAATTTTCAAAGTGCAATGACCTGTTCGAATTCAAAGTGTTAAGTCTACACCGATCGGCACTGACAGGTAAGGTGAATAACTTTGTACTATGTGTTTATAGATAATTTAGAATTCATTCAAACAAATTGTTTGTCAATTCATTGATTTTTGGAAAAAGTGACAGCCCTAGCTCCACCTCAACTCCACTGATAAACAGGGGGAGTGTGTCTTTCCCTCTCATTTCCTAAAATCAACAATCAGCTCTTTGGTTTTGCTGACATTGAGCAGTAGGTTTTTTTCTCTGCACCACTCTGCAAGATGGTTGATTTCCTCCCAATATGAAGTCTCATTATTGCTTGAAATCCGGAACACCGATCAGTTTCACTGGGAAAATTGTGTTGAATGCTGAGCTGTTTTTCTCAAGGTGTGTGAAGACAGGGCAGTGGAGATGACATCCTCTGTGGATCAGTTGGTTCTGAATGCAAACTGGAGAACCAGTTTCCCTAAAAACACTTCCTCAGAATGGGGGTGAGTGCCACAGGGCGGTTAGATTAGATACTGCAGCCTTTTTGGTACAGGGACGATGGTGGCTGTCTTGAAGCGGGTGTGCATTTACCTTCAACAAAGCACAACTGACAGTATCTAGAATCTAATAGACATCTTCCCGCAAGCCTTAAATGGTATTCTTCATAAATAATCAGCTTTCAGCCCTTCACTTCCCTCATCATTCTCTCTGCTGTCTTCCTTTTCTCCATCTCCCCATCCCTTAAGATGTTCCTCCTTCGTCACTCCTTAACCACCTCCCCTCTGAAAGCTGACTACGATTTGTGTGTGCGTAGTTTGATACGTGGAAGTGTGTGTGTGTGTGTGTGTGTGTGTGTGTGTGTGTTGCACAAACAGGGGAGTTGTTCAGACTCTTGAGTGCCTGATAACCAGAGTGGTACTTTTTTTCCCCTTTTTGGCAGATTGCACAGGGTTCAGTTTTCATGACCTTCGCACGGTTGCTATGCAACCATAGGAAGACATTCCCAGCTAAGCCATATACATAGCTTTTCACACCTCCACTCTCTTCCTCTGTGCTCATCCTCTCATCCTCCCCTCCCCTTCTTATTCTTCGTTCACCCGTCTACCATGCTGCTGCCTCCCCCCTGCCCTCCCCTATGTCCTGGTCTTGGGTCTGCTGCTGGCAAAGTTTATGGCATTCAAGGTCACCCATACGGTGCTCTCAGTGTGACAAGTGGGCTGTGTGTGTCTGTGTGTGTGTGTGTGTGTAGGAGAATTTCCCTCATACACATATGTATATCCACACATGGATGTAAATAATAGCTTCTGTGTGTTGTTTAAAGGGCGCTGATAAGTGAACATGAGCTTGTGTGCCCATGCGGCTGTCCTCATAGAACACATGCATCTGTCCTCATGTGGCCTTCTTATATAACTGTCCCCTGGGGTAATGTAGGCACTAATGTAGGCATATAGGAGGTGATATAGAAGACCCTGTGCTGTGTGAAACATGCGGGACCTGCCCTCTCTCTGTCTGACACTTCACCCAGTAGATATTGACCCTCTCCTATGTAACAGAGTACGAGGGGAGACGTGTCACTGTAGAGGAAGGAAACGATTGGGCTTAAAGCTGCGCAGGATACACATGATATTGTCAGCTGTGTCAGACACCAGCGTGGTCCAGCAAGTCGCCACACAGTAATAATCCTCTAACTGCACGTCCATATGCATGTGGGCACATGCTGGATAGGCCTCACAATGAACAGTGAATGCAATCCAATTAAAAATCAGATGGATGGATCAGCTGATTGACTACAGCTGGCAACATGTTCATTTTAAAATGAAAAACAAGGAAAAGGTAACAAAATACCAATGTATTATGGTAGCTAATGTAGCTTATATGATATAATACCACTTCCTAATAAGGCACCTCTTATAAAGGGTGTAACGATTGAAATTACTGACTGACTTCCTAACAGTCTTTCTTCCAGTCATTATAATTAACGATAAACTGATATGTTCTTTTCAGGCCCCATACAGATACTGATTATTAGTAATGTAAAGAAACTGATATATACCAATATACCGAACATTTATTTCAACATCACACAGTCTCGCTGTTCAAAACAATCTTGACAATCAACACTGATCAATAGGATGCATGATGTTTTCATGCCTCTCCTGTCGCTGCCTGAACCTGATGTGTTTTTATCCCCAGAGTCAGAGTCCTGGTTGGAGCCGCTGTGAATCGCACATTTTGGCCCTGCCCCTGTCCTACGAGCTCCCAGTCCAGATACAGTACCTAACAGGACCACTAAGTAGCTAATGTCAGCTAGTAGTTAGTACAGTTAGCATATGCGAAAGTGCTCTGGTAAGTGATTCTCTGTGTTACAAGAGAAAAGGTTTGTGTTGGAACAATGTTCTGTTACTTTCATCCAACTAATGAAAAGTGGGTCGACTAAGACTCTTCTCATCGCCTAATGGTTAAGTCGACTATGGGGGGCAGATGTACTTTTTACTGCACTACATTCATTTTATAACTTAAGTTACTAGTTACTTTACAGAAATTGCTAATACAAAATATAAATCCACTAATAAATGATGATGTATTATTATTATAGATTAATCTACCCAGCATTAAAAAGTAAAGTAATCAAAATAATCTCTATCTGTTTTTAACACACTTGTATTGGATCAGTACTCTGTATCGGCCAATATGCAATGTTTAGGTATTGGAAAGAAAAATATGATATTAGAACATAAAAAATAACAATACCAACAATTCGAAAATGCTGAATATTGGATTTGATAATCTTCCAGTCTGTTCCTAATTATAATAAAACTGGTCCAGTAAAATTTGTCCAGTATGTTATTGATATTTTGCATACTGCAAAGTTCTTTATCTAAAACCCCTGCAGACATTCTTGTTCCTGTTGTTTTACCCTGTGTAATGAAACTGCAGGCACCTGTTAAACTCTCAGTACCTTCCCTCAGTCCCTTTACTTTTATGCCCTGCAGTCCTGATGATTTGCATACTGTTTTCAGTCTTTTCTCACAGTTTGATTAAGTTTGATTGACAAGGTGTTAATTTGTCTTGTGTTGCACTAAATCTTCTGCCACCTGCAGTATTCTATTCTATTCGAGTGCATTTGAAAACATGTTTACAAGTTGAAAGTGAACTCTATTTATATCTTATCATTTAACCAAGCCAAGTTGTAGGAAACTGATGAATTGAACTGTATTAAACAATATGACTAATCAATGTGGCAAATCCAGAGAGTTATTAGCAAACTCTGCGGTGTCCTGGACTTGTTTAAGCTGCTTTTAGCTCAGTTTCATTTACTTGCATGCTTATTCTGCTATAATTCTTTTTTTTTTTTTTTTGACATGCTAACACACAAGGCTGCTTTCTGGAGGGAAAAAGCTCTGATAAACCTGCTGTATGCAAACAGACAAAGTTAGCTTATTATCAGAGTTTATGGTATTTGTAGTCCTCAGATAGAAAAGACATTTCTGTATAACTGGGTAAGGTGGAGGTGCCTGCTTTATAAAACTAGTCTGTTGTCTTGGAATTAGTAGAGCATGAAAACAAAGGGAAAAAGCAACTCACACAAAACCAATTAAAATAAATGAAATAAAAATTGATTTCCAATTAAGCTGCGTACTTGTGTCCCAAAGCAAACAGCTCAAAACCTCCTACTCACTCTTTATAAGTCACAGTGGAATATTCCAGGTGGGTTCAAGATGTTGGTTAATATGAATGGAAAATGAATTCATAAATAAAGGAGGTTTCCACATTAAACTCAGTCTAGATTAAAATATATGTATTATCATTTCCAACATTTCCAAGTTTGTGAAAACTTTTTTCTTCCACCTACCATGAGGATGTGACAAACTGCACGTGGTAGTCATTTTTAAACACTTAGACAGCAATGACCCCTACTACTTTCATCTTAGACGAATTCTAGACAGCATGCTGCAACATTTTTCTAAAGAATATGTTATTCAAATTTGGTAAGTCTACCAGATGAATTTGCAAGAAATCTGTCTTTATTAGGACAAAAAAAGAGCTATACTTTGTTGTGCTCAAGCCACAGGTGTGTCTTTCCTAAAGCATTTTGCACTGAAAGACATAATTAAAAGAAACAGATGTGTTTAGTTCATTTTAATGAGGAGGAGGAAGGATTAGAGTACAGATATTTGACGAAGACTGCATTACTAACTGTCAGTAACACAAAGCTTTAATAGCCCACGTTATTTGGGTTCCATTTTCCATCTAGGATGTTGTTTTTTTTACAGAAAGTAAAGAGACTGCACTTTATCTTTATAGTCTGCTGGTTCATTATGTTGGGGGGAGATGCTCCTGATAAGTGCTGCATTTTACAACCCATTCACCCAGTCTATCAATAGGCCCAGCATAATACCCTTATAATATATATAGGTACTTAGAAAAGATATGATATGGTGTAGTGTCTTTACAGTGGCCTAAAGAAGACGATGGTTATTTTTCCTGTCATGCCTCCCTTTTTGAAGCCAAAAACCAACTAAGATTTTTCAACTATTGATGAAATTGTTGTCAAAATGAGCAGTTGGATGTTATTTTATGGGGACAGTATTGTCATAATCATGAACTACAGTTTTTCACGTTATTGTGTATACAAATAATATTTGAAGTTTATGAAGAATAATCACTAGCTGCAGCTTTTACAAAGCAAGGTTTCTGCAAAAACCAGTGTGGTTTATTGGTGTAACCGGTGTGTGATGTATCAGTGTGTCCTCTGAGTTTATTTGGTCTCATACTGCCTGTTGCAGGATTTTTAGATACCAAAGATTTAAAGGTCTATCCTCTTCCATTACGTTGACAGAGAGATAATGTGAGCAAGACGGGCTTTGTCATATTTTCTTGATTGATCACCATTATGTGACTTTAATTGTTTGATAATGGTTATCTGTTTTTCTACTGGAAACTGCCTTTTCTGCTTCCGTTGTGTGAATTGGTACTTGTTTGAAGGGACAATGAGATTCTGTTCATTTAGTTAGTTTAGCTTTCTGCATTGAGTGTAAAGGAAGATTTACTCAATGTTTTACACATATTGGCCTGAAATACAATCACGCAAACACAAGGCTCATAGAAATACAAATGTGGAGAGGTGGTGGAGTGATTGGCTGCCATGTAGAGGCGCCCTGGGAGCAGTTTGGGGTTCGGTGCCATTTGCAAGGGTACCTCGGCAGTGCCCTTGAGGTGGAACTGGCACTACTGTGGTTCGTGCTGGAGTTGAACTGGTAACCCTCCGATTCCCCAGAAAATATGTCTCATTCATTTAGTATTGTAAACTTAAAGGTCCAGTGGGTAACATTTAGGAGGAGCTATTGTCAGAAATGGATTATAACACTCATATGTATTAATGCTGTCGTGGTAACCGAAAAATCACTCTGTTTAGAATCCGACCGTATGGGATAGCAAACCACCGCCACAACCACACTTGATGTCACATCAACACGACGACAAAGCATCACATAATAGAAAGACTTTTGTCTGTTAGCTAGCGACTTTGAGCTAAATATGTTAACTAACTGCCGTTAGTAGAGTCACAGACCCAGGAGAAGGGCGGGTTGAGGTGATAAGTACAAGCAGAAGCAGGTACTGAGGTTAAACAGCATACCGCTCTCCCTCTTACAAAGTAATTAGGAAAACCAACAAAAATGGTGATAATATCACATACTGTGCCGTTGAGCGACCCTAAATCACTGCAGGAGAAATTCTTTCAGCACGACAACCCTAATAAGTACAGTATGTTTTTATTAGTGTATAATCACCTGAAAATAAGAATTGCTGCGTTTCCACCATGTTTCTACTGTTACCCAGAATGGACAAACCAAACACTGGCTGTAGATAGGGACGATTTTTTTTTTTTTGGCATGTTTCGTGGCCACTAAAATAAAAGTAGTCTAGACTAAAAAGAGTAGGTTACACTAATTTATTTAGTCTGTTTAATTGGAATCCATTGTTTTCATGGAGTACCAGTTGAAGACTGTTTGTATTTTACCAATTATTAGCCAAATTACATAGTTCTGGAAAGTTGCTAGAGCATTATCAGAAAATAATTAAGAATTTATGGACTTTACTTTATATGTATATAATATATATATAAATATTATATTATATAGTAATATATATAGTATATATATAATCATCTGAATGACATTTGCTAATCAGAACACTCACACTGCACTGCCTCCGGGGAACACTTTTCAATTTGAGAACCACTCACTTAAATTACCCGCTAGTAACACTTGATATTCCTGTCATTCAATATACCTAGTGAATTCCTCTGATTTCTGATCATATCATATAGTTGCTGCAGTGCAGCAGTGAGATAATAGATTTTTTCTCATATGATATCAGTCAAAATTATTACAGGGTTTGATTCAGTAGCCCATTCTCCTGGATTTTATTGCACTTTCCTTGCCAACTCTGTCAGCTTCCCGATATCCTTCAGATAAAGCGGATTAGTTCGCAGGTTGGCTGTCACAAGAGGAAATGCTTCAGTCAGGCTTGAGCACTGTCAGAGAAATATTCATTACACACCCATATCAGGAACACCACACCCAAGCCGACATGAAAACAGAGCTAGGATGTTATCTGCCTTTTGCGGCAGCTTACCGCCATCAAACTATAGGACGTACTGTATTGTTAAACAGGCTTCACCTGTTTTATAGGATCACATGACCTGTCTCATTATTTTGACGTTATAGTTTCATATGTACTGTATAACCACTTACAGCCAGAGAATGCACTGCTCTGTCAATACTCTGCAGTGCCACACGCTGACTAACAAGCATATGATTCTAATTTTACAGCCCAGCTACTTAACAAATTAAAAAATGCACACAGGCAAGTGGAGTTTCAAAGCGGGAAATTATATTCATGTAGTACACGCTTTTTTTTTAGGTTTTTAGAGCAAGTGTGTTTCTTTTCTTAATAAAATTCTAGCGGAAAACATTTCATTTAGCCTGCTGTGATGGCTGCAGAGTATCGTAGCACTGCTAAGGAAGAGAGAAGGTCTCACGCACACACACTTGGCTGAGTACGCACTGTTGTTCCTGCAGAGTGTGTGGAGGCGGGTTGGTGGGTGTTTTCTACGCTCTGAACTCCATCCACATCCAAAACCGTAGGAGAAAAAAGTCCTGAAAAAAAAAGCCCTAGATACAAATACTGTGTGACCTCATCGCTACCTGCTGCCAAATACTGAGACAGAGCTTCAGCCAAGAGACTGTGCTCACATACACACAGACACACACAGACACACACATGCACGCTGTTCCAGGTCAGTGTGTCAGGCTCTTAGTAGTAAAAGACAAGTCAGAGGTTCAGAGACAATTAAAACAACAACGTGAAAGTTTATTGATGCCCGGAGGATAACTTCCCTTTTTGATTTCCTGCCTTATCTCTGAGGTCAAAGGTCGATGTCAGATACAGAATAATGACAGGCAGTTAACCTGCTCACTCACCAACCAGCCCTAAAACCCCTCACTTGGATTCCAACAGTCTTCATCATACAGCAAGAAGTTATTTCCCCCTGGCTGTGATCAGATGAATGATTTTCACATTCAGATGATTTATGTGTTTGCAGACTGCTTTGGGGCCCTGCAGCAAGAAAAGAGACAGCATTGTAACTGTAGATTGGGAAAGAACTGAGGGAAACCAACAATGTGTTCACTGTGCTTTCTGTGGCACTCAAGCCCATTCATTCCTACTGAAGATATAGATCTTTGAAAATACTCCACAAATACATAGTTCCATTTATATAGTTGCAGCTTTAAGTCATTTAAAGTGATTAGTGATTATTATTATTATCCATTATTGTGTCTGCTATTTTCTCCATTAATGGTTACACCTCTAATATGCTAAAAAATCTGTAATTTTCTGGAAAAATAAACGCCAATTATGTTTTCCGCACTAAAATAAACTCCTGAAACAGCTGGGCACTGTGGTTTTTAGTAAACATTACTCAAACAGGAGTAAATGGTGCATTTGTTAGTGATGCCTTCGGTCACAGATTAATACACATTTGTGGATATTGTTCCTCCATATGTATGTAATGTACACTACCGCTCAAAAGTGTCATGTTTTCCATGAAAACAAACTGTTTAATTCATGAAATGAGTTACAAAATGAATCGATAATAGTAAAGACATTGACAGGGGTAGAAATAATGATTTTTACTTGAAATAATAATTTTGTTCTTCAAACTTTGCTTTCATCAAAGACTCCATTTGCAGCAATTACAGCCTTGTAGACCTTTGGCATTCTAGCTGTCAATTTGTTAAGGAAATCTGGAGAAAATCTCATCTCATGCTTCCTGAAGCACCTCCCATAAGTTGGATTGGCTTGATGGGCACTTCTTACAGACCATACGGTCAAGCTGCTCCCACAACAGCTCAATAGGGTTGAGATCTGGTGACTGCGCTGGCCACTCCATTACAGACAGAATACCAGCTGACTGCTTCTTCCCTAAATAGTTCTTGCATAGTTTGGAGCTGTGTGGGTCATCGTTCTGTTGTAGGAGGAAATTAGCTCTAATTAAGAGCAGTTCAGAGGAAATGGCATGGCATTGCAAAATAGAGTGATAGCCTTCCTTATTTAAGATCCACAAATGCTGATGCTCTAGATACTCAACTAGCCTAAGGAAGGCTCATTTCATTGCTTCTCAAATCAGCAAAACAGTTTTCCGCTGTGCTAACATAATTGCACAGGTGTTTTCTAAGGATCAATTAGCCTTTCAACACAATAAATGTGGGCCCCTGTACACGTACATAGATATTTCATTAAAAAAATCTGCCGTTTCAAGCTTTAATAGTCATTAACCACATTAACAATGTCTAGACTGTGTGATCAATTTAATGTTGTTTTAATTTTAATAAAATTTTGCTTTCATTCAAAAATAAGGACATTTCTAAGTGACCCCAAACTTTTGAGCGGTAGTGTATGTGTGACAAAGAAATACTACTACTTTGGCGTGGAGTGGAGCTAAACCCTAACCTCTATGGGTGCCACCATTGTTGTTCAACGAACACATCTTCTTCTGCGTCACCAACCCCTGTATTTGCCAGTAATTCCTCAAAGGACGCTGACTGGCCCAGTACCACTGTCCTAGCCACAAACACATAGATTGAAGCCTAGGCAAGAAAGCTTTTACACTTAATTCTGAGGTAGAAATATCTGTACTAAAGTTCATGATAATGGTGGACCAACAGATCTCCATCCATAGAGCCATGCCGCTAGCACGGTCGAAAACAGACTTGCCTTGTTATTTCACTAGCAATGTCTTGTTTGTTTGTTTTGTTCTTTTCCCTCTAAAAATGTATCACACCATTATATATGGTTATGTTGTGACATAAAACAGCATTTACTGTGATAGGATTTCAGTTGCCTTCCCCTAATGCCCACATTCACCCACTGAACAGTGTGGCTCACTGATTGAAATAATTGATTTAATAGTTTTTGGACAACTGTGGAGCTCTATGGCACAGAGGAATATATTAAGCACATGCTTGCTGGATCAATTCACTGGTGGTTTTGCTCTTGTCATTTTTTATTTATTTATTTTTTTCAATTTGGAAAAATACTGAAAATAGTCAGCCTTACACTTGAGTGTCTTAATTCAGAGACAGAGAGGACATATTTGAAAAGAATATGGAATGACGGGCCCTGGATCATTTGCATCGTACATCTATAAGACAGCTGAGACACCAGGTCACTCCCTCTCTTCCCTTGTTTTGGTTTTCATCCACTTTATCTGTTTCTCTCCCTTTCCAACAGCCAAATGGTTGTTCATTTTGGCGATGGATGGTCCTTTTTTCCCCCATGTTCACAGCTAGTTTGGCAGGCAACCAGCCATACACTCGAGGTTTCTGTTGCATGCTGACACTCGTACTGTATTTCTGGAGAGCTACTGATAGTAGCCTGTACTGTATATCTGTCACTGTAACTGATGGGGGAGGAAAGTCTTTTTTCCCTCCTGCTTACAGAATGATACATATTGTACGAAACAGCCTGCCTTCAGAAGATTAATCTTAATGTCTCTTTTATTTGGCGTTTCCTGCTGCCGCTTAATTAGCCCCTCTGCTGAGGTCTCATTTGTTTGCCTGGGAGGCTCCTGTATGTTAGAATGAAGAGACTTATTGGTGTAGATGCGTAAACCTCCGCTTACTGTACAGAAAATACACAGCTCTCGCCTGGCGCCCTCCCAACAAGAGTCAGAAGGTGCTAGATAGTCGGCCGTTCAGTATCATGGATGGGATGGATGGATAAAGAGGCACAAATGAACCATAAAGATACACAAAACTACCACTAAAACTATAAAGAGACACAGAAGGACTACAGAGAGACACAAAAGGACTACAGAGAGACAAAAGTGAGTGAGTGTGTAAACCTTTGTGTATCTGCCTGTCCTTTTCACTGTTAAAGTGGTGCCGACAATGTTAAGAGTGCTTGAGGCTTAGTCACACAGAGAGAGTATTCAAATAAAAAGGTGGAGTGTGTTAAAAATGTTCCTTAAGTGGAGGACAGACCTCAACTCTCAGGTTTGCTTCAGTCGTTACCATTTACAGTGCAGCGGAGCCTCCAACTGTGTGTGTGTGTGTGTGTGTCTTATGAATCTATCTTGTGTTTTCTATATGAGAAAGAGAGTCACACTCTGAGATGTAGGTGTATGTGACGGAGACCCAACCCAAGAGCAGCTTGCACAGATGGAGGAAGATTAACAGGCAATGTGTGTGTATGTGTCGGTACATTGTGTGAATTCAAATGTGGGTTGCCGACAATAGATTTTCCACCCAGTAGCTGCTTTGCATTCTGAACAAGTACTTTAGCTTTTGTCATTGCAGAATGAACCCTATGCTTTTGTTGATTTGTTGAAGAGCTTTGATCGACCCGAGCTTGAAAAAATCAACCACAGAAGCAGTTTTGGGCCTGACCCGAATCCAAACTTCTGCTTAAATTTGTTAATTACAGATTAAAGTACATTGTGCATGTAAGATGCAAAATGATTATCAAAACTAATCAATAACAAATCCACCTATTAATAGTATAGTTGCATGCATTATTAATAAAATTTATATTTTTAGCCCTGAGCCCGACCCGAGCCCGACCTACAGCGGCAGTTTTGGGTCCGAACAGAGAAGCAAAGCTCTACTTTGTAGGACTGTACCGAATAGTTGATTTAGATTTTATTAGAAAAAAATATACATATATTTTCTTTATTAAATTATATAATCCTTGAACAATGCATATTTATTTTGGTGAAGTGAAACTCTTTTCACCTTGATTATTTTTCATCTTACCAATCTTTACATTTTTGTATTGTGATTTAAGTGTCTCTATATATATATATACTGTCTGTCTCTATATATATATATATCTTTACGTTCCTAGTTCTAAATCAACATTCAAATGTTGCGCAGGTCGAAGCTAACTATAAAATCGCAGCGAGCAGGGTAGGTCTCGCCCAGCTCCTCTGCTCTCTGGCTCCTTCCTGCTGGGTTGCGCGGAGCTTTTTTTTTTTTTGAGCTTTACAACAAAACCGCTGTGAAACAATCAGAAAACACAGTTGTATTTCTCTGATTCACTGCTCTTTCCCTCTCTAGCCCCCACCGTGCTCTCTTGCAGTGACAACACGTCATAGAACACATCTTACACCAGTTTGCAGTGTATGTAATTGCAACCACTTAGGAGTATTTTCATGATTGAGACAGTACATTGCCACATCTAATGCACTGTAATTACTGAAGAAAAAGCACCTTTATGATAGTGGTGTCATTTTGGAAGTGTCCAACCAAATTACAAAGGTTAAGAACAAAGCCCAGCCCCCTCATGAGTCAGAATATGAGACAGAAGACTGTTTAACTCTCTGCTTCCCTCCCATCCAATGTCTTTGCTTGGGGGACTGGGGATTGTGTCGCCTTGTATTTGACCTTATTTTTCTATGAACATATACTAAATGTTATTGTTACTACAGAGCTATGAACAAGAAGCAATATCTGTGTATTTACTGGGGAATGATGAGAATCCCAGCATGCACTGGGTCCAAGCTCATCACAAGACAATCACATAAATAGAAAATTGCACATATACATTCACATATAAGGGTAATGCAGAGTTTTAATCACCTGGGTCCTTATTTATAAGACTATAAAACTTATTCAGATAACAATAGTAATAATAATGCTACTGTGGTCATATTCTAACCTGTCTTTGTGTTTCGTCTTCCATAGGTGGAGTGCCTGAAGAAACCTACCTGTACATGTTAGGAGGCAGAGCCGAGCATCGACTCTTTCAGATGGACACTGGAAAACCACCAGCATTCTTTTTCAAACGACATAAGACAAAAGAATTTACTCAAGATTGATATACCACAGTTTTACCTCCCTCCGTCCTCTCCTCTTGCTTTAATCCACTCAGACAAAACCTCCTCTGCTTTCTACCTCCCAGAAAACTAGAAAAGGAAAAGAACAACCTACTGTCCATTATCAGTTCCTCTTTTCCTTCTCTTCATGCAACATTTCTCCATTTACCTCAGGGATTCTCTCCCACTGCCTACCTCCTCCACCGAATCAGCCGACCCAGTGACTGGAACACAGAGCAAAAGACACACCTGTGACCTCTTACTGCTGTTACCGTGACAACCTGTATTGCCTCTCAAGCTCTCCTCACTGCAACCGTGACGACAAGCAATGACCTTGGACCTCGTACCACCTGCCAGCTCAGACCTGCTTGCTGCCTAAATTCTACTGATCCACAACTTGTAGCCCCAGTGGAACTCGGGCTAGTTCTTACGGGAAGGAAAAGGATCATATTGCCAGACACTCACAATAACCTCACCCTTCTATACAATACACCAGGCAGTCAACTATATACCTCAGCAGACACAACTTCTACATATACAGTCAACAGAAGGGAACTTTGCATCAACAGCATTCACTACCCTGGTGCTTCATTCCACCCAGCAGGTTACACATGCTCGCTAGACTGGTGCTTCAAACTACCCAGTGGACAACTCACTTCAGCATCTTCCATTTGCCTTAGAGGCGGGGGTATAGCAACAGTAGCCAGGGAGGCCTACGAAGAAGCAAAGAGAGAGAGAGAGAGTCTGGAGTATTGCCTGGCAGGAAAACTTCACTTCATTTGCCCCTTAGTGAAGTCACATCACACTCAACCTTCACAATCTATCTATGCGGTAGCATAAATCAGCATTTGCCCAAGAGGCCTTCAGAGATCACAGAAGAGACTCAGACGTTTCTCCTGCCTCGAGGCTTCCTCCTCACCTTGTGACGCTTTCAGAGGAGTTAGAGCCACGCACGGAGCGGGAGAAGTTCTTGCGGGGCCTCACCGGCTTTTCTCACTCTGGAGGCAAGCCACAAAGAATAAAGAACTTCCTGGCAGATTTAACTCCACAGAAGATTCATATTGTGTGACAGCGGAGAGGGGAAAAAAGCATTAAAAGGAAAGAGAAGAATGCAGCGGTGAGTTGTTGTTTTTTCTTATTTTCTATGCTTGTTTATTAGCATGCTTTGTTCTCTCTTCTCTCATTCCGCTCAGTTAAAGGAGGCTGGGTTACATTGTATACCATGAATACAAGCACACTTTCATATTTTTCATTTCTTATCTTTTCATTTAGACTTATCACTAACTGACATTTAAATGGCATTTCTGCCTTATTAGATGATCCAGAGTGGAGACAGACAGGAGATTAAGAGAGATGGAAAAAGGCGCTTTGCAGTAAAGGTCATTCAGTGAATCTGAACCCCCCTACAATAGCATACATCTTGGCAAAGAAACCTAACACAGAAGAGACTTTGCTTGAAATACAAGTCTCTGGGAAGTTTGAAGCTTGAAGCAACCCTAACTGAATATGATATGTAAACGTATCAATCAATTTTTCTGATTTTCATGCTTCCGTTGGTGCGTGTCAGTGGTAAACGAGGTTGGACCTGACGACTATGCTGAGTCATATCCCACATTTATGGTCACCAGTCTCCAGGATTTTATATTGAACCAAACACAGTATGTTTTCTGTCCACAGAGATGTGAAAAAGTATTTATTTAGATTTTTACTGGCTCTAGCCGGTCTGTCAGTCAGTCAGGTTGGTCAACCACTTTGGTCCAGACTTAAATATCTCAACAGCTATCGGATGGATTGCCAATACATTTTGTACAGACACCCATGGTTCCCGGAGGATGTATCTTAATGGCTTTGGTGATTAAGTTTGGGTTTCGAACTACTACAACCGAATTACGCCAGTACTATCAAGTACCGATTCACGTTAAATCAATTTGCGCAGAATTTCAGTACCTGGGAGCGCATATGTTTGAGAGAGTACAGCTGTATGTGAAGGTTGTCATTTTTTGGTTTTCACTGAAATGCTGGATTGCATGGTCCAGTGGTCTCCCTGCCATCAACATCAAGCAACTCTCTGCTCTTAAATGTATGCCATGCATTTTCAAATGCTTCATTAAAACTGAGGTGTTGTTTCTTTTTATTTTTGACTACTCTCATACATGACTCTCTCTACATTATCCTCTGTCTGAAAGAGAAGGCTGGCTGCTTTTCTTGTACCAATTACTTGTATGTAAGTTGGATAACCAATCCCAGGTCTAGATCTTAAACACTAATTCACACTTAGCGAAGAAAATAAAAAATATGAAGAAAACACTGAGCACTGTTGCACATACTTAAAGACACTTATGTCTGTATTTGACAACTTGGGAATGAGAAAGGGCTGTGAAGTGTATAGGAGAAACTATAGTGGCCGCGAAACTCTCTCGCTTTGTTAGGGGCAGATTTAAGGCCCCAGTATGCTCGCCATTTGTGACCTGTCACGCGACACTGTGACGTCAAAATGACGTAGATTTAGGATTTAAGGTAGCGCACCACTGTTGACTAGTTACTGCAAGATAGACACTGACAAAATAACTTACTGAATACTGACTGTAATACCATGGAGAGGTAATTTAATGGAGTAATGAACAATGCAGGGCAATGCTTATGAAATGTTAATGTTTTTAGTCATGCTAGCAGCGTTGCTGTAAGGTTCAGACTAAGATGGACAATTATTAGATGGATTGACATTCATGGTCCATAGAGGATGAGTCATACCAACTTTGGTGATCCCCTGACTTCTCCACTGGTGCCATAACTTGGTCAACTTTTTGTAATTCTTAAATGTTTAATGTTATTTCTGTATTTTATGGGTGATTCTTTAGATAATGACAGTAATTCAGTTAAGTAGGGTTTATATAATTGTGTATAAAGACTGTATATGGATTATATACTGACTTGGTTTGTATCCCTTTCTGGTTGCTCAATTGCTGTTGTCCTCATAACTGTCAAAGTAATGGACTGGTTGCAGCTGCAATGGAAGGTTTCATATGTAGGAAACTTGGATTATTCTGATGCCCATCATTTCAGATTGAATAAACCTGCGTCACGCACCAAAACAGTTTTTCTTGCAAAAGGACACGTTGACGTTTTAACTGTCAGTCCAATAAGGACATCAGGCCACCCAATATGGGGCAAAAAGAAGAAACATGGCCTAGATTTGATAAATCATCTTAGCATTATGATCTGTGTTCAATTACTTTAAATGGGGAACAGCTTGACTTAGTCAAAAGATGATTGATGAGATCCCTGCATTGAGATAATGCATAGCAAAGCACAGCTGCATATTATGCTTTGAAATAAACTTATATAATGCAGGACTTTGGTAACGTGGCCACATTGTGTTCCTTTTTTGACAAAGTAGAAAGACATGGGACAAAGAAAGTAGTGTAAAGAAAGAGTAGAAAGTGATGGAGAGATTACAGAGACAGGTTAGAGGTGGGAGGTAGAGAGAAAGAGACAAAGATGGATGTTCACCAACGAAGATGTGCAAGACTCACCTCAGACACCCTGTGTCCTCTCCCTCCCCCTTTCAATCATTCAGAGGGAGTCACACATGTATACCCTCCATCATTGATAGTCTCCTCACATCATAATGCCATAAATTGTTCCCGCCCTTTGCTTTGTGTTGCCACGGCAACACACACCCTTCCCCAGCCACCTGTGGCTCAGATACGCAGTGATGTATAGAGCGCAGAGCCAATCAGATCGTCGGCTTATTTGTGTGCCACACACGAGCACTTGTCTTTCTGTGTGTGTGTGTGTGGCTCTCTGGCCCAGTCATTTTTAGTAAGCAATGACCCACGTCCAATCAGACGGCTCGGTGACATGCGTGTAGGTGGTCACATATATACTGCTATGTGGCCCAGTTGTTTCGCTTCTGTATTAAAGGGCACATGGGGACGGCATAAGCTGGATGAGATCCTGTTATCTGGTGTGAGTCAGTGTATTTGTGTGCTCAGGTACATGAAATAGAAGCATTGAATAAGTCATCACTGGGCTCTCTAGGGCTATTGCTGCAATCATGCTGAGCGTGTATGAATGTGTGGTACATGTAGGTGTGTGTTCATGCCATCCAGTATGTGCTGAGTTCAGTGAGTACGTTTCTACCTGAAAAATCACAGTGATGTAAGGCAGAGGTCAGAGGAGTTTTAGTAGTTTTCTTTTTTCAGTTTGTTTGAGTGATGTTGTATCTATGAGTACATGTATGTTCAAATATTAACACAAATGTTCTTCACTACATTCATGGTGGATTTACAACAATATACAGTTATATCAACAGTTTAGATGGGGGAGGGGGGAATCAACATGAACTAAAGGGCAGATACTGATGCAATGCAACACTGTCACAGATTTGTGGAATGACCTCACTTTATGTTGTTTTGATAACAGTCATCAAACCAATTTATGTTTTATCGATATATGGCATATTTATGAATTATTGTTCCATCCATTTCCCCTGACAGTATAATCAGTGTTTCCCTTCTGAACAAACCCTTTATTGGCTGTTTTTGGAGTGTGAAATGAGAAAAATAGATACCACTCTCATGTCTGGGCGAGTGTATTGTGCTGGAGTCAGGAGGCGATTAGTTTAGCTTAGTTTAACATAAGTTGGAAAAGTCCACTTACCGGCACCTATAAACCTCACTAACACATTGTGTCTTTTTTGTTTACATAAACTCTTCAACTATTTTTTTTTTTGGCTAACAACAACCATGAACAGTTTTGGAAGTCTTGTCACAACAGTGAGGTTGCTAAGTTTGGTACCATCAAGCCTGTACAGAGACCACTACTAAAATCCATGCTGCACTAATGTGCTAAGC